GACGTTGTGACCTCAACTTGACCTTGAAAACGTCAATAGTTCGACACTTACGATACAAATCGAATGCAAATTCGGACTCTGCATAGGAAACTGGTCTGAGTCGCAGGTTTTTAGCAATTGATCTTCACGAACTGAATTAATCCAACTCTTGACGGCAATCTAGTCCATAGTGGGATGTGTTGATCGCCTTGATTTAGCCATTACGCTTTCGGAGCCATTTTCGCGCGTCTAATACATTTATGGACTCAAAAAAGGAAAACACAGCACGTCCGTCAATCTAGCAGCAGATTGATATCCAGTTGCCAATTAGATATTCTGGGGCGTCACGATCGCTTCCAAATTTGGTGTGCATGACTTTCTCGACACACTGATTCCGAAAATCACTGTCTTTGGGGTGGAATTTTGCGTAATTTCCGAATTATATGACGCGTAACATTCCAATGTGATATTGCAAGGCGTCTCGATTGCCTCCAAATTTGGTGTGCAAGGCCTTCTCAGCATGCTGATCCCGAAAATCACCGTCTTTGGGGCGGGATTTTGCGTAACTCCCGAGTTATCTAACGCGTAACACCGCAGTTGGATATTGCGAGGCGTCTCGATCGCCTCCAAACTTGGTGAACAGGGCCTTCTCAACACGCTGATTCCAAAAATCAGTGTCTGGGGTGTGATTTTGTGTAACTTCCAAGTTATGCAACGTGTAACACCCCAGTTGGATATTGCGGGGCGTCTCAATTGCCTCCAAACTTGGTGTGCAAGGCCTCCTGAGTACGCTGATTCCGAAAATCACCGTCTTTGGGGTGGAATTTCGCGTAAATTCCGAGTTATACAACGCGTAACACCGCAGTTGGATATTGCGGGGCGTCTCGATTGCCTCCAAACCTGGTGTGTAGGGCGGTCTCAATACGCGGGTTCCGAAAATCGGTGTCTGGGTTGGGATTTTGCGTAACTTCCGAGTTATACGACGCGTAACACTCCAGTAGCGAGTCACCTAACTCGGAAGTTACGCAAAATCCCACCCCAAAGATAATGATTTTCGGGATCAGCGTGTTGAGAAGGCCCTGCACCCCAAATTTGGAGGCAATCGAGACGCCCCGCAATATTACATTAGAATGTTACGCGTTTTATAACTCGAAAATTACGAAAAATTCCACCCCCGAGACAGCGATTTTCGGAATCAGCGTGTCGAGGAGGTCATGCACACCAAATTTGAAGGCGATCGTGACGCCCCGGAATATCCAACTGGCAATTGGATATCAATCTGCTGCTAGATTGACGGACGTAAACACAACAGTATTCTTCAAGTACTTCACACCTTTTTTAGAAGACGAAAAATCTCCACCGCGAGCGTTTTACGCGCAGTGCGGCACGGGCTAAACCAGTTCGCGTTAGCAGGATTGCCCAACTTTGAAATCATACAATCCAAACGACATCTTTAGCACCAAAAATAAAGAGCAGGCAATTAACATTATACACTACGTCGTTTCGACCACTGCTACTCACAATGCTCGCATGATTGCCTATCATCTTCAAGAAATAACCATCTGATAACATAATAATTTCGGCCACAAACAGGTCATATGATTTTTAACCCGCAGACAGCCGACGATTTATAGCATGTACTAAAAGGGCAATATAAGCACCAAATTACGTACATTCGAGCAATTCAGAAAAGTATCCCAGTTCTACACATTCGTGTCTCGAATTGATATTTCCAAACAGACAGCACAGAGAAAAACCCAACAATGTCGGCGGAACTGAAGCATTTCCAGCAGTCTTAAAAAACGGACCAAGCCACGGGAACCAAACACCGAAGCCAAGCCAACGTTTTCGGTGCGGTACATTGACGTCTATTAGCGCAGTGCATCTCATACACGAGTCCGGATAATGTGATTCACACTTATTAGGACCAAACACATCGTGACGACATTGTCGCTTAAACTACAACACTTGGATTCAATTAATATGACTACTCCGTTTGCCGTGACATGCTGCCATCATGTCGTGCAGAAGGACTGTCGTAGTACCCTCTTAAAGTAGTGCACCTCTTGTACAATTCCAACGAGCAAGGCTTGAAATCGCTCTGACATCCAGAGACATACTCTGCCGAGATGATATGCCAACAGCCACCCTAAGGAAACGGATCAAGCCTCGGGAAACGAAGACTGAAGCAAGGGCAGCGTTTTCGGTACGGTACATATACGTCTGTTAGCGTAGTGCACCTCACACACGAGTCCGGATAATGCGATTCACACCCTTAGAACTGAACACGTCGTACTGACAATGTCGATGGAACTGCAAGACTTCGGTCCGATGAATAAGACTCATGCATTGCCGTGAGATGCTGCAATCATGTGCAGAGAGACTGTCGTAGCACCCTCTTAAAGTAGTGCACCTCTTGTACAATTCCAACGAGCAAGGCTTGAAATCGCTCTGACATATCGCTCTGACATCCAGAGACATACTCTGCCGAGATATTATGCCAACAACCACCCTAAGGAAACGGATCAAGCCCCGGGAAACGAAGACTGAAGCAAGGCCAGCGTTTCGGTACGGTACATATACGTCTATTAGCGTAGTGCACCTTACACACGAGTCCGGATCATGCGATTCACACTTATTAGGACCAAACACATCTTGCTGACGATGTCGGTGGATACGCCAGACCACGGTCCGATGAATAAGACTCATGCATTGCCGTCAGATGTTGCCATCATTGGCGGACGGACTGCAGTAGCACCCTCTTCAAGTAGTACACCTCTGGTATAATTCCAATTGGCGGGACCTAAAAACCGCTCTGACATCCAAAGACATACTCTACCGAGATAATATGCCAATAAAATCCTAAGGATACGGACCAAGCCTTGGAACCGAAGACTGAAGCTAGGCCAGCGTTTTCGGTACGGCACATATGCGTCTATTAGCGCAGTGCACCTCATGCACGAGTCCGGATCAGGCGATTCACACTTATGGAAATTAAACACATCGTGCTGACAATGACGGTGGAACTGCGAGACTTCGGTCCGATGAATAAGACTGATGCATTGCCGTAAGATGCTGCCATCATGTGCGGACAGGCTGTAGTAGCACCCTCTTAAAGTAGTACACCTCTTGTATAATTTTGATTGGCGAGACCTAAAAACCACTCTGAAAGGCAAAGACACACCCCGCCGAGATAACATCCCGACACGAACCCTGAGGAACAAAGCCAAGCCCCGGGAACCGAGGACCGAAACAAAGGCAACGGTTTAGGCACGGTACATATACGTTTAGTCGTGCGGTGCACCTGAAACAAGAGCCCTTACAACGCGATTCACACTAAGCAGAAATAAACACATTGTGCCGACAATGTCGGTTGAGCTGCAATGGTTTGATTCAATGAATAATGTGGGATGCACTGTCGTGAAAATGAATGAAATGAAATGAATGAATGAAAATGAAATGCACTGTCGTGGGATGTCACCATCATGTGCGGACAGACTGTAGTAGCATCTTCTTAAAGTAGTGCGCCTCTTGCATAATTCGTTGGCGAGACCTAAAAACGGCTTTGTCATCCAAAGACACACTGTACAGAAATAACGTGTCAACAGCAATTCTAAGGGAACGGACCAAGCCCCGGAAACTGAAGACCGAAGCGAGGCCAACGTTTTCGGTACGGTACATATATATTTATAAGCGCAGCGTACCTTATACCATCGTCAGCAAGATGTGTTTAGTTCTAATAAGTGTGAATCGCATGATCCGGACTCGTGTGTGAGGTGCACTACGCTAACAGACGTATATGTACCGTACCGAAAACGCTGGCCTTGCTTCAGTCTTCGTTTCCCGGGGCTTGGTCCGTTTGCTAAGCGTGGCTGTTGGCATATTATCTCGGCAGAGTACGTCTTTGGATGTCAGAGTGGTTTCTAGGTCTCGCCAATTGGAATTATACAAGAGGTGTACTACTTGAAGGGGGTGCTACTGCAGTCCGTCCGCCAATGATGGCAACATCTGACGGCAATCCATGAGTCCTATTCATCGGACCGAAGTCTTGCATATCCACCGACATCATCAGCAAGATGTGTTTGGTCCTAATAAGTGTGAATCGCATGATCCGGACTCGTGTATGAGGTGCCTACGCTAACAGACGTATATGTACCGTACCGAAAACGCTGGCCTTGCTTCAGTCTTCGTTTCCCGGGGCTTGGTCCGTTTTCTTAGGGTGGCTGTTGGCATATCATCTCGGCAGAGTATGTCTCTAGATGTCAGAGCGATTTCAGGCCTTGCTCACTGGAATCGTACAAGAGGTGCACTACTTTAAGAGGGTACTACGACAGTCCCTCTGCACATGATGGCAGCATGTCACGGCAAACGGAGTAGTCATATTAATTGAACTCAAGTGTTGTAGTTTAAGCGACAATGTCGTCACGATGTGTTTGGTCCTAATAAGTGTGAATCACATTATCCGGACTCGTGTATGAGATGCACTGCACTAATAGACGTCAATGTACCGCACCGAAAACGTTGGCTTGGCTTCGGTGTTTGGTTCCCGTGGCTTGGTCCGTTTTTTAAGACTGCTGGAAATGCTTCAGTTCCGCCGACATTGTTGGGTTTTTCTCTGTGCTGTCTGTTTGGAAACATCAATTCGAGACACGAATGTGAAGAACTGGGATACTTTTCTTGATTGCTCTAAGGTACGTAATTTGGTGCTTATGTTGCCCTTTTAGTACATGCTATAAATCGTCGGCTGTTCAGGTGTTAAAAATCATATGACCTGTTCGTGGCCGAAATTATTATGTTATCAGATGGTTATTTCTTGAAGATGATAGGCAATCACGCGAGCATTGTGAGTAGCAGTGGTCGAAACGACGTAGTGAATGATGTTAATTGCCTGCTCATTACTTTTGGTGCTAAAGATGTCGTTTGGATTGTATGATTTCAAAGTCGGGCAATCCTGCTAACGCGAGGTGGTTGAGCCCGTGCCGCACTGCGCGTAAAACGCTCGCGGTGGAGATTTTTCTTCTTCTAAAAAAGGTGAAGTACTTGAAGAAAACCCATAGTGCTATTCCGCAGTAGGGGTCATTCCGTGGTGATTGCACTTCTGCCCACGTAGGTACGAATGATAAGGTCGCGCATGCTGAAATGCAACTTTGTGTGTCAGAAAGCAAGAGCGACTTGCAGCATGCAATGCATTGCTGGGGTACAGTAAAGTGTAGTTTTATAACAAGTCAATGTTTGGGAATTCATATGCCTGTTTAAATGTGGATGAATGATGTACAGCTATCGATTGTCAGGTCCACCTTATTTCCCACCGTAAGATAAAACTGGTGTGATACTGTTCTATTTGGGTTAAATCATGCTAAACAGGATGAGCCAATAAAAATGTATTTGTGATTGTGGGATAATGCATACTGCTGGCAGATTGCTGTTGGTACTGAATGTTTAATATAATGGTGTGTTTGGTAACAGCTGGTCTCAGTGAATTATCACAAATTTTGTGAAGTTTTCTGGAATGGTGTATGACACTCACAATGTGTGGTATGGACACATGCAATTGACTGTGACTAGGAAGAGTACCAGATATTTTTTTTAATGTGACCAAGACATTTTTTGCCAGGCATGGCCATGACATTTGATTGCATATGACACTTGAGGGCAGAAGGGGGATGCCTACTCTGGGATTGCTAAAACAAATGACTGCTGGCAAATGTTCCACACCTAAAGATATTGAGGCAAGCATTCATTATGATGCATTAACTCACCTACAGTTAATGGTACACTTTAAAATGCAACAAGCTGCTCAAGGCAACACAATTGTGTTTTTTGGTAAAAATGTTCTTCAATTTGTTATTGCTTGATTGCTTCTTGAAACATTTGTATGCCAGCAGAGGGGCTGCCAAACTGACCGCAAATTGTTACTGAATGGGATGGGTTGGTTCATTGATTGTTCTTTCATTTCTCAAGAGATGGTGTGCTAATGGGCTATTTATGCCACTAGGCCCAGTCATTGAACACACTTGGCTGCTGAAAATCCCCACTGAGATCAGCTGCATACAGTGCTGGCGGAATGCAGCATGGGCGGACATGCGCCTGCAGCCCCAAAATATTTCAGGTTTTCATAAACATGGAACCCTATGGCAGTGTAGGAAGTTCCCAAAAGAATTCCTGGTAGCAGAGTACAAATTTTTCAAAGTGGAGTACAAAATTTTCCAAGCTCTGTAAGTCATTACACTTTTATTCATTATCTTTGGGATATTGCAATACAGTGTGCAGTGCTGAACAGAAGGTCCACTTTTCATATAAAGCAAGCCATGTAAAAGCACTTGAAATGGAAGAAAATGTCAGTATCAAACATGACACACTGAAACAACACAGTCTCATACTTAATGACATGAAACATATGCATATATATAGGCAGGCAATATGTGAAAAGCTTACCATACCATGGATCTTGGCAAGTTTTTTCCTCCTGAAGTATTGCTGCAAATAGTAAGCATCTTATGTGATTTTCCTAAGATTACCAACCAATTTTACCAACAACCACCTAGTGAGGGTGCACAGTTTCACGAAATAAGTTTGGAGCTGACCACGGAAAATGGCACACAAAGAATGCCAATGAGTGTGCCACAGACGACCACCTACTCACGCTCCACCACGATCACACTACTCACGCTCCACTACGATCACACTACTCACGCTTCACCACGATCACGCTACTCACGCTCCGCTACGATCACGCTACTCACACTCCACCACGGTCACGCTACTCATGCTCTGCCTGATAACTGGCTTTAATAATCGCAAAACCTTTTCATGCCCCTCCACCTTCGAGCTTCTGGAAAACATGAGGTCTGGCACGTCCTAGCAGAATAATAGAGACAGGCACTACTCTCAATCAGTTTACATAGACAGCGAATGTAGGTGCTTGGGTGTGCAGTTTTTTGTCATCTTTCGTTCATCCTTGGCAATGAAAGCGGTTCGTCGTTAATGGTACGTTAAATCATGTTCAATTTTCGGGTGGTGTGCACGGGACGTAGGAAGTGAGAGTTTTGCTAATTTGCAGACCAGTGCGCTGCTGTGACGCATTTCTCATTTTTCGGCGATGTTCAAAGACGTTTTTATTCAACATTCACACTTTATTTTTCACATTTCCATACATGATTTATCGTATAGTTAGGTGGCAGCACAGGCTGCTTGCCATTGGGCATCTAAGCCTGGTGGGTGCAGAATTTGTGCTCTTGAATGTACTTACACATGGCTCATGATGGAAGCAGCAAGTCCCAAGCTGTTGCATGTTCTGGTTTCATGTTGTCCTGACACAGAGTGGTAAAGTGAGTTTTTCCAAAAGCCGTTTTTGTTGCATCTTGGTGGAGTACAAAATATTTCATTTTACCCAGTCACAGTCCTGGAGCACAAAATCTCCTGGTATACATTATACCAGGAAGTATTGATTTTTTCAGCACTGCCCCGTGTTATCCCGGATCTACTCATGCAATTCTGGATCCGCCCTCGGGATTCGGGCACGTGTCTGAATAGGGGTACATGCACTGTTGGAAATTCCAAAAAGTTTTCCTGGTAGCGGAGTACAAATTTTCTAAAGTGGAGTACAAAATTATCAGAGTGCTGTGGGTCATTACAGCTTTATTTAGGTTATCTTTGAGAGATAATAGTACAATGGGTGGCACTCAACAAAAGTGCCGCTTTTCATTTACAGCAATTCATGCTAACACTTCAAATGAAAAGAAACATCAGTATTAAACAAGATACACGGAAACAACACAGCCTCATACTCTGTACTATGAAACACATGTGCATATACCTTGTGTGCAATTTATGAAAGGCTCTGTGTATACACTCTCCAAAACGGAGGATAATCACGCATCAGGCTTATACACTCCAAAATGGAGGGTGGCTATGCACCGGACTTACACACCCTCCAAAATGGAGGGTGGGCATGCTGCGCACAGCCTGACAAAAATGGTACACAAAAAATGCAACTGAACATGCCATAGACGGCCACCTACTCATGCTCCACCACGATCACGCTACTCACGCTCCTCCACGGTCACGCTACTCATGTTCCACCAGCTAACTGGTTTTAAAAACAGCTAAACATTCATGCCCTCCACCTTCCCGGTTCTGGTCAACACATGAGGCCCTGCACGTCCCACCCGAACAATAGAGACAGGCAGCACTGTAACCGATTTACCGATCCAGCGCAAGTACAATGCCTGACAGACCCGTGCAGGCCGGCCAAAAAGGATCGGGGTCAGTCACTCCGCTGACTCCGGCAGATAATGCAAGGTATTTATGGATTTTGATGCGCTTTAACCGATATCATTGCGAAATATGATAATTTATGTTGCAATTAATGGATGCTTTTGTCCTAACTAACCCTTCTTAATTTGCCGGGCCAAAGTTATGGGCTCATGTTATTCTGGTGTCGTGTTTTTGTCGGAGTGAGAGGGCTGTCTCCGCACAGTTTTTTGGCTATTTATAGCAAGGTTTTTGGACTTAAAAGGGTATTTTTGTAAAGCCTGAACTGCCAGCTTTAATTTTACACCCTTAGGTGACAAATTTAGCTTATTTTAAATCCACAGCTGCTGTAACATTTTTGTACCCCGCATACCAAGAAGTGGCCAAAAATCCAATCACATGGCGGTTCTGGATGAGTACAAATAAGTCCTTACTTAAATTCGTGATGCCCATCGCTGCACAGCTTCCCTCCAAATGTTTACAAATCTGTTCAAGGCATGGGCGCGAGCGGAATATTCATGCTCTTGACAAATCAGTCACGAGGAGGCGAATCATTAAAACCAATTGGAGAGTTTTGCTGTGTTCAACCTCCAACCTGAGCTGGGAAGCGGGCGCAAGCCGCTGAATAGTTGAGATGTTTCCGACGCTGAATTGCGAGTGATTCTCTTATTTGCATTGCCATGGCACAGTGGTGGCGCGCGGGAAGGCGGCCGTCTGCGGTAGGGGATTAGGCGTGCGGTTTTCCATGAATGTTCGTTGCATCCTTGGCAATTAATGCGGTTCATCGTCAATGGTAGGTTAAACTGTGTTTAAGTTTCAGTTGGTCTGCGTCGGGCGTAGGAAGTGAGAGCTGTGTTTATCTACGGACCGGTGCGATTCTGGTGCTCGTTTCTCATTTCCCGGTATTGTTAAAAGGCGATTCCATTCAACATTCACACGCTTTATTTTTCACATCTCCATGCATGGTTTATCATATTCCTAGGTGGCAACACAGGCTGCTTGCTATTGGGCTTCTTAGTCTGGTGGGTGCAAGTTTGTGCTCTTGCAGATATCAATACATGGCTCGTAATGGAAGCAGCAAGTCTCAAGCTGTTGCACCATCTGGTTTTATTTTGTCCTGACATAGAGGTAAAATGAGTTTTTCCAAAAGCTGTCCTTGTTGCATCATGATTGAGTACAAAATATTTCATTTTAGCTAGTCACAATCCTGGAGTACAAAATCTCCTGGTATGCAGCATACCAGGAGACGTCAAGTTTTCCAACATGCCTGGGCGCACGCCTGTCGTCCTGTCAAGAGTAGGGCGGCGCTCTTACGGGGCGTCCGGCACGCCCGACTGGGACCAGGCTGGAGCAGGACGGGGCGTGCTCACCTGCACTTGTGGTGATCATCGCTGGTGTCGCCGGCCTCGCAGACGTCTATGTAGACGGAACATGGGGATAGGCCGCGGCAAATATCGTCTGAGTTGAAAGGTTTGAGCAGCGTTACTGAGGCCGAACAGTATCTGGAGGCCCCAAGAAGCCATGTGGCATATGATGTAATAGCTGTTTTGTGCGCGCCATCCCGGCTCTTTTTGTCGGCCCGATCGGATCGAATCGGTTCGGATCTGTGTGCCCAAACCAGGCCTAACTTTGACACAAAACGGCATACCCACCGGATCGGATCGGTTCGGATCTGTAGGCCCAAACCAGGCCCAACTTCGACAAAAAACGACATCCCCGCCGTCGTGCAACATCCCGCAGGTGCCAGCATTGGCCACGACCGGACCGGACCGGACCGGACCGGATCGGATCGGATCGGATCGGATCGGATCGGTTCGGTTCAGATCGGACAGCGATGGGCCACGATGGGCCATCCTGCAGGTGCCAGCATTAGCCGCGACCGGACCGGATCGGATCGGTTCGGATCGGACAGCGATGGGCCACGATAGCATCGTTGCCGATGTCACCGTTGAATGCCTTGAAGCGGTCACAGGGACGCCACTGGTCCGCACGCCTGGCTCTGGACCAAATGTGAGGCGAACGTCACGCCGCTCTACCGGTCTGAGGACGCCACTGCTGTCCGGTGCGGTCCGGTGGCGGGGTCGTGTGTCGCGATGCGATGTATCACTGGTCGGCGTGCCGGCCCTCTGGGTCTGCGGTCGCCGGGACCGCTGGGATTCGCAGGCCAGCGGACGTCTTGGTGTGCTACCCAGGCTGCCGGCTGAGCTCCGGCAAAGGCGCGCGGCTCGCCATCTGCGGTTCACGAGGCGAGCTGGTTCACGTGCACGGGCGGTGTATAGTGCAGCAGGAAGTCCGCTCCGAGTGTGACGACGAGGACGTCGGCAACGATGAACCGACACGGGCAACGGTAGCCAGTTGGGAGTAGCCGCTGTATCGGTGTAACGGAACGGTTCCATCTAAGATCAGGTGGTTGCCGCAAGGCGAGAAATCGCGAGCTTTGCATGCTGGCGTCCATGGACAGCTGTGCGTGGGTGGGGGTTGGGACAGGACAGAACGCTGTTCTGGGTACACGTCGATGCTGAGCCGGAGGCCGCGTCTGTCACGTGGACGAGTTGCACCAGCCGGGCGTGGCCTGAGGTCGTCCGTGCTCACTGACAGCCCCAGGCTTCCATGTTCGAGGACGGGCAGCCGCGGGCATCGTCCGAGAGTTCGGGACGGTACAAGCGCAGACCATCCCACTGACGGGTGCGGGACCGCAAGTCCTGCCGGCGATCGCGGTGTGGACGGCCGGCCTGGCGGGTAAACGCCAGTCTCGTCCACCACTGGTCCTCTCCAGTGGAGGAGGGGCAGGCGGAAGCTGACACACTGCCGGCTGGGTGACAGCGCTAGGCCCGAGTGTGTCGATGGTGAATGCTCCATTTATTAACCCTCACGCTCGATTCACTCCACTGGCATTCGCTGCACTGCGATGACGCTCGCTGTGCTGCTCTGTGGCGTATTCTATGTCCTCAGATGTTCCCTCTCAGCACCGTAATGATTCTGCAGAATTTGAGCCTTGCAAGGGGCCCAACGGCGGGTGAATACCACCTGACGGTGTTTTCATGACGGTAGCGTTTTGATTAGATGGTGAATGGCTGAAGATAAACTGCGAAAATAACAGCATTTGCAGTGCTCGAGATTTGTTGGGTTGAAAAACCGACCTTTTGGAACAAGTGTTTGGAGTTTTTTTATGGAGTGGAGAAAGTTCCAGGGAAAGCGAAATTTAAAAACGTGTTTGAAAGGACCAATCCCATCAAGACAACCTGTGCAATCCAGTAAACCGTCGTGATGCTGGACCCGTTGACCTAAAAACTGACGCAGAATGAACCAGATGACCGCCCAGGCCGCGGCTGTGTTGGACGGCTAGAGCTGGTCGCAATGCCCGGCACAGGCGGTGCATTTGGCGTGCTTTTTTGTGCTTTGATTTAACAATTTTCCCGTGATCAGATTTCGATATCCTGAAAATGCCGGAAGTCAAAGTTTTCTGATGATTTTGACGAGATGCGCAACACTGACAGCTTATTCAGGTACCTTGCACTCCTCTTTGGAACCCTTGTAGTGTTTCCACACCAGTTTTCATCGGAGCTTTGGTTGTTTTCTGGATTGCGCCGGTTGTGCTCATTAGATGCAAAGCTCAGCTCATTGTGATGTGATTTGATTATGGTCCTTCATGTGATGATTCGGTGTTTTCCGTGTTGCTGAAAGCACTGAAATGTCCAATAAAGATCCACTGCAAAATTTACACTCATTTACAAAGATCGCAACCGACCCCCTCTATAACAGGAAAGCCATGCAGTTTTTGTGATATCTTGCTTGTCTTCCATTAATTGTCGCCTGATAATGGAAAATATATTATTGTCAATGCTTGTCATCTTGAACTAACCCCAGCATATTCGCATCGGTTAATCGTTCACTGGCAAACGAGACAATCCAAGAACTATCCCAAGATGTTCGCATCGCCTAATCGGTCACTGGTGATGTTTTGTATTGGGTGTTGCCGGAACTTCCCTTCGGGCATGACTGCACTTGACGCGTTTAACGACAAATTGGTGCCTGCTTTTGACAGCCTGCGCTACCTTCATGTGAGTGACCAATGTCCAAGCCTGTGCAGAAGCAACTAAAATGTATAATATATGGTCGTCTGTGCTGCCAAACACCTAATGAGCTTTAGCGATGCCCGAGAAAAATAGTGCTGAACGTATCCACCTGCGTATTAAAAGAACAAAATTGCTATGTGTCAACGTGTCGCCCTATCTTGTATTGGCGATTCTGCAGGATATCGGCGGAGCGGGCCATGTCGGAGGCAGCAGACCAGTTTATCTCTGACCATGAGGTCAAGTACGCAGACGTCGCGTCCGGGACTGACTCCGGCAGCCTGACTCTGCTGGACATCAGGAGGCCGGACGAGCTGAAGGACACGGGCTTCATCCCTGGAAGTCGTAACCTGCCGCTGCAGGACTTGGACGAGGCTCTCAGTCTTGATCCGGCCGAGTTTCACGCCAGGTACGGCTTCGCGAAGCCGCAGCCGGCCGACCAGCTGACCATCACCTGCCGCTCCGGGCGCCGCGTGAAGCTGTCCGTACCGGTGTTCACCAAGCACGGCTACACCAATCTGAAGCTCTACCTGGGCTCCTTCCTCGACTGGCAGGAGCACGGAGGCCAGGTGTGCAAGATGTGACTACGGACTGTAAAGCTGGAGGCCGGGGAATTTCTGGGATCAGCCACTAACGCTTACCAGGGTAGGCTTCGAAGTGTAACGAAGTACGCGGATGACGGCGTCGAGTTATTCACAAATGAGGAGTATTGAGGGTATATAAAAGTAACGAATGTGTGTGTGTCGTCACTGTAGGCAGATTAAGCGATTAACGGAGAAAATTACGAAGCTTCACCATTTCTTTGCGAACATGTTAATCATGCTCATGCTGGCTAGTTAATGCTAACTTGTTTTAACCCATTGCCATTGGGTTTTATGGCGAGAAAATAACGGTTTGGGTAATCTTCACCGCTTACATGTGGTTTATTAACGTGTATTTTGTGTGTTGCTTTTTAGTGTACATCAGGCGTTAATTACAGTTTATTTTATGAGTTGGAATTACTAATACGAGTGACCACCTGCGATGACTTGTAGCAACCTTGATGACGTTAACGGTGATAATAACGCAGCTTTGCTATTTTTGTGCGATAATGCTAACTCGTTTCCGCCCATTTCCTGTGCGCTTTACGTTGAGAAGTTAATGCTTGGATAGTTCTACTGATGACTAATGTTTATTCACACCGCGCTTTGAGTGTGTGTTGTGTTTTGGTGCACATCGGCGGTTAATTACAGCTAATCTTACGTGGATATGGTAGTCCGTATTAGAATGCTTGCGATTGACTCGGTGGCTGTGGGGTGTAGAACAGGGCTTAAAATTGATGATTTTTTAGGTCGATTTTTTGTGTGACGTTTGATACATGTGATATAATTTTGTAGCGGGTGATGGTAGTGGTTGGTTATGGTTTCCACTACAGATATTATTTAAAACTTATTTGATTAGGTAGTTTTGTGTCCTTCCACCAAGATACAGGAGGGGTGTTTCCTCTGTGTACCTTCATTTACATGCCTATTACGGTTGAATTTATGTTTATGATAAACCCGGTTTTACGCGGCCTTACCCTCGATGGTTTTGCTATAAACGTGGCAGCCGTGGTTTGGTAGAATGTAATCCTAATATGCTTGTACGTACTAGTGTTTGGCGATATTTGGCTAAGAGGTCATCGCATTTGCTGCGAACCGTGAAAGATAGGTACTTGCTACTAGCATGTGTTCATGCGTTGGAACGCATTCCTGAACCCAATATTAAGAGACCAAGGAGTTCGTTGTCTATGTGGGATCCGGCACGAATGTTCTTTGTGATGTTGTGATGATCCTATTTTTAAACAAGGTGACGTACTATTTAAATCCTATACTATATACTGGAAACTGAAGCTGTGGTGTGCCGGATAAACTGAAGCTGTGGTGTGCCGGATAAACTGAAGCTGTGTCGTGTGCTGGGTGTATTGCGTGTTGACTTTTATAGGAGACAGGATTATAGGTACAAAAGGAACAATAACAGCGCTTCGATACCCATTTTTGCGAAGTGCTGTGCGGTTATCCAGAGAAGCCCCATGCGTGCGCTGTCTTTAGTTAGATCACGCGGAGTCAGGTTTTGTAACCGCATGTGCGTCTGCCTGCTAAATAAAACGCTTGACATCTGGTGGTGGTATCGTGAACTACTGGTGAGTGAGATCGCCGCGTGGGAATTCCGGGTGTTGGATCGGGCGCATGTTAAGATCGGTATATGTTCTGGCGCATGTTTCTTTCAAACGTAAAGAAATCTTTGAGGCGCTTAGGAAAACAATACAAAAGTGTTGCGTTCCAGTGCCTTGTTCTGACTTGGGTACGTTACCTAATGAAATTCCATGTAGTTCGGAGACGAGCGGCCATGCGTCGGAAGTGGATGCTACAGTCACGGATCGGAAGGATTTGTCTTAAAGCCCGGGGTAGTCAAGCACCTGGGCTAAGTACAAATGGCGTAGTTTTAAACCAAAAATTCCTTGTTGCCAATAGCAACAACTGAAATGTTCCGAAGACTAGTCAATAATTGAACGTCATGAGCTTCGACATCTACCGTTCCCCCCCGCTGAAATCCTTTTCGAAGTAACCTCAGAGGCTCCTCAGACTCGGACGAGAAGTGAGCGAGAGCAACGTTTCATATGCAAAGATTAGAACCGAACTGACGAAACGCTCCCTTAAGTATCGTGCCTCTATGATTTGAAGCCATCTGCCTGCAGGCGCGCCGATGCCGTATCGGCACAGGGCTTCAGATCTCGGCCGCCATCGTAGAAGTTTGCGTTGTCATCTCGTCCTCGCCCGGCATTGACTGTTGTTCGCACGTCGTTTTTACTTCGTTCTCATTTGCTGTTATTTCGCTTTATCTCTGACGTCTGCGCTGAATGGACATTTTTGGGACAATGCCCGTGACTCCCGCTTCCTCAATTCATGATCACAAAGTGGTGCACAGTTTCTGTTACGTGATCAACTTTGGAGGCTACGACGCTCGATCAACATGACACCTGTTATGATCGAGCATCTCCCGCAAAATCGGTTAAGGGACTTCCCACATCCAGTTGATTTGCTGTTGTTTTTTTTTTTTGCTCATCCGCCCATGCATGAGTGATGCACGCTAGTAGCAGTACTGTCGGCGTCGGGCGCCTTGCCTTGTGTTTTGTCATGCCAAATGCAATGTCAAATGTGGCTAACCCGCATCGTGACGTCACCAGTTACAGGTCTGCTTCCCAGTGGTGTCCTGAGCTACGCCGCGGATAACTGCTCGAACCGCCCAGTTATTTTTTTTTTTCAGTGCTGTTGACTTATGCAGCCAATCCGTGACAGGGACGCATATTTTTCTCGGTGGCCGGATAGAGAGCGTAGACGGCGTACCTAACTCCATGGCGAGCCCAATCAGTTCAACCGGACCCGCGAACACCTCTGTGTAGTCTTCTGGGGCATCATATTGGGTGAGGCCGATGCCAAACAGATTTTCGGACAGATGGTCAGCGGTTCCATTTCTGACATTCCCGAAGACCCAGGAGCGGTATAAAATATACCTGCCACACACTCCTGGTAATACTCCTTGCTCTCCCAGGATGCGACTCGTACCGTTACGTTGTAACGTACCGTTACGTTGTAAGGTACCCCCCGTGTCATTCCATTGTAGACCGGCATTTTTAACTGGTCGGCCCCTTTGATATAGGTGCATACCGGTAGAATGTTCACTCGTAGACTTGGGCGCAGGTGGCGCCACTGCCAAGCCACGGATCGGACTGCCCTCGCCCCGCCCCCCGAGGGTGACCAGAGCTTAGTGCTGCGCTGTCTGACTGCTTACAGCTAGAGCTTCTTTCCCCGGGTCACCCCGATCATCATCAGCCTCTAATGGTGACGTCAATGATCTTCTACTGCATGAACGTTCCCCCGGGCTTGAGAGCTAGCGACTTTTGTGTGAGCGCCAGCTGGTGTCAGCGGGTGCACTTCTGCAGGAGCTGCCTGCAAAGTCATTCTTCTTGTCATACTGGAAAAAAATTTTCTCGGAAGCGGTGCAAACATTCGACGCCCTGCTACCGTATTTACAGAGTATGGCCATCTGGTCACCTAAGATGCCAAATGATCACCCCCTGCGCACACTAAAGCCATGACGTTCTCTTTAATGCTGTATCCCCGGCACCATTCGTCTCAATGACTGGTTTGTAACTGCTGGCGCCCCATTTATGTGTATCAAGTATCGTTGGGCCATAATTCCGCAAAATAAGTTAGGGAGGGGGAGGGGGGTAACTAAATCGTGAACAATTATAAAATCTCCTCTCCCCAAAATCGCCAACATAAGGGTCTCACCCCGAATTTGGCCCACTTTTTCAAGTTGGAGCTCGAGTCCAGCTTGAGGAGGTGGGGGAGGGGCTTTGGGCCCCGCCCTCCCAGCTGACAAGAAAACGACACCTTTAAAGTATTGCATCCCTTGTATCAGCTTCGACACACACCACTTTGCCACCCCAGCCCCTGCCTCCATCATATTATTCGTGTTATGATTGCAGAAGCTTATCGCATGCAAATGATGCGTCCCGGGCGGCGCCAAAGCTGTCGCGATTGTGGGCGTAGCCGCGCACGCTAAATACCGACTCCGCCGCACCACTAACGTACCATCACAGCCGCGCACGCTAAATACCGACTCCGCCGCACCACTAACGTACCATCACAGCCGCGCACGCTAAATACCGACTCCGCTGCACCACTAACGTACCATCACAGCCGCGCACGCTAAATACCGACTCCGCTGCACCACTAACGCACCATTAGAGCCGCGTGCGCTAGATACCGACTCCACTGCACCACTAACGCACCATTACAGCGCTGCTCTGTATTCAGAATATATCGGTGTTCCGCAGAGGTGCAACTTTCCAGCGACTGTTTGTTGTATATTAGGATTTGCTGTGCTTGATGCCTAAGCCACGGGGATATGTTTGGACCGTGTAGTAACTTGATCTCTCTCCCGGTGCTGCGAGCGCGGTGCCTTCTTCTCCGGTAGAAATGCAGGCTACAGAAGCATGACATGTGTTTTATTCTTGCCAACAGAGACGGCAGGCAGCCCTACTTTTCAGATCATGTGACTCAACACGTACCCCACCTTGATCCCCGGCCAGTGCCGATCCCACTGGCGTGTGTGGGCGATCGCGGCGCCTATCTGTTGTCATCTGCGCGTGGCCGGCGGCTCACGCGGCTGCACGCCCCTCCTGTCTGCGGCTCGGCGGAGCTCAGCCAGAGCTCCCGTGCTGCCGGGGCCGCCGCTGACCAATTCGCGGAACAGAGCTGAGCGTGCTGCCGCGTCGGGCCCGGTAGGCGGCCCGACGCCTATCGAGCCCGACGGACCCTGCCGGGCGCGGAACGGGCGGCGCCCGTCTGCTCCGTGCGCCGGCCGCAGCCAGCTGCTCGTCGCCCCCAGTCGTGCCGCAGACCGCACTGACCGGTCGCGTCGGTATCCCGCTCGCTGGGACCACCTGGAGCCATTGTCAACACGTCAAAGGGCATATTGGTGAAGTTTCCACGTATTTGCAGCGGCGGCTTGCGCCTCGCAAGGTAACTGAGTTGCAACGCGGGGCCCATGGACGTTCCGTGGGAATAGTGGAATTTTAAATCTGATGCAACGTCGCGGTCAAGTAGTCACGGAAAAAGGCCGTCCTACGGTGGCGCCTACAAAGGTTGTGGCCTAAACAGGTTCTCTGGCCACATAATACAAGAGTAATGCAGACCTTTTAAGTGATAGCCTTTGCAGAGAATTCGGTAGTGCATGAATGTGCCATTGCCTTGGATATAATCAAAATGACTCTGCAAACGATATTGCACAGTTGTCTGGAAGTGAAGCACTTACGTATTTGGTCGTTACTCCATAGCAGTTACCGAGTGTGCAAGTTCGAATCCGAATGCGCAAGGAAGTGTATGTATATTGATGTGAACATGTATAACCACTAGCGTCCAGATCTCAATAAAAACATGTCCCAATTTTTGTATAAAAATGCTTTAAAATTCAGACGCGTGTAGGGTTGTGCCTGTTTTGCTATTAAGCATCATTTTAAGTGATTTTAACAAACTTAGTCTTGTGCCAGCATGATTACAACTGCTGCTTTTCCGCGGCTCCTCCCGACCAGCAAACAATGAATTCGAAGACACTGAATTAGCTGATCGTCGCTTCGTCAGCGCCAGGCTGACAGCAGCGGGCCGTCGTCAGTCAGGAGCGGGCCCGGTGCACGTGACGTGTCGCTGCGTGCTCCGCCGCCGCGGCTCCAGGCAAGATCTGGGCGCCGCCGTCCGGCCGGACGGGCCGCTGAACGGCGCGCGCCGCCGCTCTTCATCTGCAGGCGGGTGCGCCACGGCTCGTCAGCCTCAGGTGCCCGTTTGCCGTCAGATCGCACCTCCACGGCCAGCCGCGCAGACTTCAGCTGTCACTGTGGCTGAGATAGACAAACATTTGGTAGACGAGTGCCCATCTGGCCACAGGGCAAGTTAATGTCATGGATCATTTTAAGAACCTCCAAAATGTTGCTGCGGTGACATGGGATGGCCCCTGCTGTCCAGCTTACGGGCTAAGTTAGTCAGGAGTGTATTATCACTCCCAGAGAGGCGCGACGTGCCGTATCTGCCCGACACGAGGGCGTCACGCTGAACCAAAACGAGGCGGTGCTGCGACGGCTTCCCCACATTTAACGGGACTTAGTCTGGGTCACTGTGTTCACAACAGGCAGTGCAGGCTGTTAAAAATGTAGAAACGTGGATTGCTCATTCTATCCCACTACGGGGAATACACTGGTATTAGACAAGCTGGGAAGTCCACTTATTTGCGGCTGTACGGGCTGCAGGCAGTTGCAACTAAATAAAAAACAGCGTACGTTTTTGTGCTGGCTTACTTCATGAACCAGCAGCATCGGAGCTTCGTTTATTTTCATAATTGCTTGACAAACTAATATTTAGTGAACGATTTTGTGACTATCCCATGTTGTAAAAAGTCGGTATCACCTTCAAAGAGCAGCTTTCAAGCATCAAATCGCTAATTCGATTGACACTACTCTTTGGGGATAGTTCCAAAATCTCATCACTAATATCCAACCACACATTTATTTTTAGTAGCATGTTACAACATTCCCTTGAGCGCGAAAACCGAAATTGTACTAA